TTACATTAATGTAGATAATGGTGGTTTAAATGAAAGGATGCTGGGGAGGGAGGGAAGTTGTAGATTCTTGACACACACTCTAGGAGCTTTGAATTGCATCTGTCCAGGTAAGTATACCTCATATCCATATTGAATGACTAATCATGTAATAGGAAAATATTACTTAGTTTTTCTGAGTAATCAGCATTTTAGCTGATTGGATTTTCTTAGTTATAGAATGCTACATATTTGCTGATTTCTGCTGTATTAAAACATACAAACAATCCCAGCAGGGTGGGTGGCATCATTGGGATTCAAATGAATCATTGTAATAAATACCATGTTGCAGTCTCAGTAAAGGCCAGGCACTGTGCCAGGCATATGACACATATTAACCACATTCCACTAGTGCAACAAGAGCTCATCAAACAAACCCACTTCACAGATGCAGAGCCTGAAGCTCACAACATTTAGAAATGTGTCCACATACCTCAATTGCAGGCTTCCGGCCCTGGTTGGGGGCATGCGGGAGGCAACCAATCGATGTGTCTCCATCACATTGGTGTATATCTCTGTCTCTCCCTCTCCCTTCCACTCTCTCTAAAAATTAATGGAAAAAAATATCCTCGGGTGAGGTTAAAAAATAAAACCAGAAATGTGCCCAAATTCACACAGCTGTTAAGGGACAAGGTTGAAACTCGACCCCTGGTCTGAATTAGTTTAGAGCTCACACTATTCCAATTATCCCAGCATGAGGCCCACCTTGTGCTTCTGAATTCAATTTTCTTTTTTCTTCTTAATAATGTATCTCAGGTCATAAAAATAAGAATCTATGGTCATACTACTGAGTTGGACTACATTCCCAGAGCAATATGAATACCAAACTAAATGAGAGGCCTGAATAGAAAGCTAATAGTTGGTGACAGCATGATCATGTACATATGCAATGTTAGATAACCTGAAAAGATCAGAATCTCATAAAATTACCATAGACTTCCCTTCCCCTGTAGAATTGCAGGACAGACTTTACATAAGAATCTAAATCTGACTGATGAAGAGAAGGAAAATATCAGCATATTTTTTGCCTGACTGTCCTATCCTGGAACTCCTGACTTGGGCTTCAGCTGCCCCATCTCACGTCACTCTTAAAGCAGGGACCAAGATTTTCAGATGGGAAACTGTTCAGGGTTTGCAGGAATGTGGCATTTTCCAGGAAGCCTTTATTCCAAGAGGCAGGAGCCAAGAGGAGGGCCCCAATATTAGAGGGCTGGATAGACAAATAGCCCAGAATATTGGGGTCACACACAGACGTGCTTCCACCCCTCCCCTCTATGCATGAAAAGGGCCACGCAGAGCTGTCAAGCTGAGCATGTCCACCATTATTCTTTAGGACTTTCAAGTACTTTTTTACTTGGTGTAAAAAAGACAAACTCAGATAGATAGGTAGATAGATAGATAGATAGATAGATAGATAGATAAATAGATAGATATAAAAGTGAGAACCCTGAATGAGGAATGAAGAAAGGACGCAAACAAAACAGTGGGGTTCCATAAGTCTGGCTCAGACCATCAACCCTTGGAGGACTGGAAAAGTCCCAGCAGGATGTGGAACTTTGGAGGACCCCAAAAGGTGAGTACCTTGATTTGATGGGAGCAGCCTCGGGGTAGTGGAGTCCAAAGAATGGTCAGGTGTCAAGGTGTGGACTCTGAATAAGAATTAAAGAACCACCCAGGCCAAGCAGAGTAACCCCACAAATTCCCCTAATGCTGTTGGCCTTGGGATGCTCAGGAAAGAGTTCTGGCAGAACCCTTTTAATCTTCCTGAAGTGATTTTCTACTAATGGAGAAATTCCCAGCAATGAAGAGAGAGAAAACCTAGGCCTTCACAAAAGCTTTGATAAAGACCCTAAATGTTATGGTGGAACCCCCGCTAGCAGAGGGAGTCAAATAGAGCCCCATTTTATTCTTAGCCATGGGGAACTGTAGAAGACATAGCATTATTTTTACTTGTCAGACCTCAGGGAGGGAAAGTCCTCACTTTGAAGGATGCAGCCCCAGTTCTGTAGAAAAAGTGGTTATGGCCTTAATTGAAGTTATGATGAGACCCCTGAGTGATGATCATAGAAACGCTCCCTAAACATGGGGCCTCACAGGAAACTGATCTTGCTGTCAATCTTACGTTATGTGGAAGAGAAATAGGACTAGATGTGTGTCACATAGCAAACTTCCCCTCCAGGAACTCACAAACATGAGGCTTTGTTTAGATAAGGACAGACCTGGGTCACTAAAAAGAGGAACCCCAGGTTAGGAACATGAGTGAAGACCTAGGGATCAAAATTCTTACACAGTAGGGTCCAGCAGTGACCCAACCCCCGCTTCCGGCCTGAGAGGCCCAGGGCCCGCTTCAGAGGCAGGGCACCCTCACTGCCTGACTCCCTGGGTCCCAGGGGAAGGAGGACTTTGTGGGGACCGGGTCGACTCCCGTCTCTAGAGGGAGGAGTCCAAGCTCTACAGACACAAAAGTGGGGAGCCTGAGTAAGAACCTGGGTCCAAGGACCCATTAAGCCTTCAGGCTCCCGGTATTAGGCACGCCCTGGACAGCCCCGCGGGAAAGAGCCCAACGACTTCCGCTTGGGCGTCCAGGAACTAACTGTGAGCTCACATTTTTGACGGTTATCTGGCTGAGGACGGCTTCGAAGGACTGGCCTGGTGTCAAGGTGGGAACCGCGGAAGCCACACACCCCAAAACAAAGGCAGGCCCCCCACCCCTCCCCTGCTGTGAGCCCCGACAGGCCCCAGCACAGCCCTGAGACTGCGTCCTGGAAAGTGTTGGGGGAAGGCCTTGCGAGGGAGTAGGCCCGACCCTACTGACGGAGGACCCCTGGGCCCCAAAGGGATTCAAGATGGAGGCCGGGTGCTTCAGAGCAGCCCTCTCTCGGTGAAAGGGCCGCGCAGGGCAGCAGCCCCTGTACTCAGCTCTAGGGACCGTCCCGCCAAGGTAATAGATAAAGAGCGACCCAGCCTCCTCTCGAGCGGCCACCCCGCCAAACTCAGCCAAGGCTGCCGGGAGCAGAGCGGGCAGGCCGCCGTGACCCTTACTCCTCAGGTGGTGTCTCAGAGAGGCCAGGGCCTTGGGGTAATGGAGGAGGGCACAAAGAGGGCCCCGTCTCTACCAGGGTTCAGGGCTGTTACACTGAGGGAGGCTGTGGGAGTCACCCCTGGGAGGCTAGGGCTCGTCGCCATGTTGAGTTGCACTCACTTCCTCCCAGGCCATCTCGGGGAGGTGACAGATCCGGTCAAAGGGGCAACCGCAGGTCAGTGGAGGGAGGATTTCGTGTTGTGCCAGGTTTCAGGGACAGACCATTGAGGACTGTGGGGATGTGCCACCCTGTGCCAGTGGGGCCACAAGGAATCCTCCCTGCCTTAGCCAGTGGGCCTCCTGGTTAGATGGTCGGCCTGCACCAAAGGCTCCTGGAGCCGGTCATCGGTCATGGGCAGGTACCTAGGTGGAAGGTGGATCCCCACCCAATTGGTGCCCTTGAGGAGGCAACCAGGTGATCTGTTGTTCTCACATCAATGTTTCTCTCCCACTCTATTTCCTTCCCTCTCTCTAAAAACTTCAATGGAAAAACTACCCTCCAGTGAGGATTAACAAAACAAAGAAACAAAAAGAATGCTCCCTATTTTCACACTAGCGCACCTCAAGTATAAATGTCAGGCAGGAGTCCTCACTCAGGGGTTACAGGGAAGTGAGGACATTGGTCTGAAGGGAGCCATCCAGGCAAGCAGATAGAGAAATGATGACCTCAGCATGAGTCAAATTTAGACCTTGGATTGAAATCCTGTGTAGAACAACCTACAATAAGACCCCAAACTGCTAGCAATAGCCCCTACTTTTGGGAGACCACTTTCAATCAGACAAGGTCAACTTCGTTTATGCTTTTTAGAGCTCAGATAACTTGGCTATTACTGTGAGGTGTTTTCCAACAGGAGTCCTATTGAGGAACCTGAGACATGACTCAAGGAACCAACGAACCCTGAATAAAAGTGACATCAAAGGGTCTATGCCAGGGGTGGGCAAACTTTTTGACTCGAGGGCCACAATGGGTTCTTAAACTGGACCGGAGGGCCGAACAAAAGCATGGATGGAGTGTTTGTGTGAACTAATATAAATTCAAAGTAAACATCATTACATAAAAGGGTACGGT